GCATTTTCGGTGCACTGAGCCCACCAACATCACAGGTAGTTTAGCTCAATAAGAGGCATAGACTATGCTCCTGTAGGAGATGGGAACAGGACCATTATGCTGCCACTAGTCCCATCTGTGTCTTTCATCTATTGTGTTTCATGTCCTCTATTTTTCTCAGATTCTATCAATAAGACGCTTGATTTGAATTAGTGAGAAAATGAGTGGCTACTGCCTGTAACATGTTTTAAAAAGCTGTTTTATCTTTCAAAAATCAAAATGATTTTTACTTTCCCTTCAAAGCGAAAAAGAGGGACAACCCTGCAAAGTGTCACGCACAAAGGGAGACATTTGCATGCGTGCTCTGACACGAGGTATTTTTCTAGTGTCAACAAATGGGAAGCTTTATTTTAAAAGTTGCCAGATTCTGCCCAAGCTTCATTATTCCATTCTGCTCCACTACAAAAGGAAAAGAACAGATTCTCTCTTCTTTATCATCTAGGACTCCTGGGGGAAGACTGAGGCACCTCGTCTGGCTTTGAGGTAAATGTGTGACTTTCATTAACGGGTGGGCTTGGCACTGAAAGAACAGACCCCCATGTTTGTAAATGCTTGAGCGATGATTCACACAAGCTGCAAAAAAACAACAACACCCTTTTTGTTTTATGCCCACTGTTGCAGTACTCAGATTACGAATCACAGTAGGCTGTCCTTTTAAGACAGTTCATCCATCCACAGTCAATTGAGAATGCCTGTGCAGAAAAAGATGTCACGGCAAAGCAATGCACTGTGCCAGGCATGGTTCATCACTCCAACATGAAGGGAGAAGGCTTTCAGGCAACATTCTTGTTAGACCATTTTAGAAAGAAAGACTAAGCTGATCAAAAAACTGCTTGGGGTGCCATCTTTCCTCTGGGAGGTTAAGATAGGAAAAAATATCCTAGTGTTGCTTCTGTATTTGCAAAGGCTGAAGAAAACCCAATTAAATATGTGGGCATAACAACTAATCCTGATATTTCTTTTATCCTATATTTACTGCATAAACAGAGCGACACTATTTTTATGTTCACTGATCAGTAAGAAAAATATATAACGTTACAACCTTTTAAATAAAATAATTATGGAATAGAAAGAGATATTAATGGTTTTTAAAGGATCCAATAAATCATGGTCTTTCCAAGTAATGTTTGTGAGTTGCTAAAGATATGAAGGAAAGAAATGACTGAAATTAATTCTAAAGATGAGTCCCCATCAATATGAGAAATAGAGCAGTAGCTCACATTAAATGAAAAATCACTCATGTAGCATAAAGTGGATAGAATAAATCAATCTTTTACAGGAATACAAATATACAAAGGAGTTGTTTAAAAACAAACAAAAAGAGCGTTAGAAGACTGGATGCTGATAAGGTAAGGAGTGGGCGGGGCCACAGCACCCGCGGGGCTTTGCCAACTCTCCTGGGCTCTGAGTCTCTCCAGAGGGTACACCCCTGGGCCTGTAGAGCTGCTACCCGCAACTCCCCATCAGCAGGCAGAGAACACCCAGCACCCACCTCCTCAAGTTTGCCTTGCAGATGCCCATCCCCTGAGTCCTTTTAGATTGTCCTGTACTGCATGGGCCTGGAGAAAACAGGGGCCTACAAGGTTACAGGATACTGAGGAAGAGCTGAGGGCACCGGGTGTGTCGCAACGGACCCATGAATCCTCTTAAAGAACACTTCAGAGAATAGCACAAGATCAAAAGCTGATAGGACAACCACACGTCCATTCGTTTTTATCGAGAAAGCACGCCCATCCTGAGTGTATGACCCCTAACGAGTGTGTTGTCAGCAAGCTGAGAAGAAAAAAGGGTGATGTGGTTATTTAGGACAATATTAGAAGGCCAAGAAGCTGCTGTGTTTTCCAGGTTGCAAATACGTTTACCATGAATTCAGCACTGAGAGCTGAGAAAAGATGGGTAGAAAGACACACACACACAGAGATGTTTTATTTTACATTTCCAAAAAGATAAGTAAATTTGGAGAGTTGTTACTGAGGTTTGTTTGTGCCTGCTAGTAAGGTCAGGATCTTTTATCTCTTTGAGGAATCATCAAAGGTGTATGGGGGAACACTGTGCTGTGGGAACCTATCACAGAGATTGAAAACACAGTCCTTACCTCTAAGGTGTTTAAATGCTACCTGGGAGGATTAGCCATGAGCACAATAAGAAGAATTTATAAGCAAGACATAGAGAGAGAGAGAGAGAGAGAGAGAGAGAGAGAGAACTATTTTTTACTTCACAGAGACTAAGGAGAAAAACTTGCAAATGACTCCCCCCCAAGAAAAATAAAAAATAAAGTAAACTGGGGGCAGCAGCTTACCTTGCATCTGGGCTCATGTGTTTGTTAGATGAGTGGCTCACGGAGGGGAGAAGAGCTTGGGACGAGGGGAAGGCGGAGCCTCGGACACCTGCTCTCAAGCCAGGAGGTACCGGTCCTACCTTCTGCGTCTTGGCTCTGATCTCTCCACCTGCCCATACTTCTGGATGGAAGGCTTGCCTGCCTCCAGTTTACCCCATTCTAATCTAGCAGGAATAACATGGGGGTTAATCTGGAGAAAACATTAGTCCATGCTTAAAACTCTTCTGGGCCTATTGCCTCTCTTTGAGGGAAGCGGCTGTGGGATTTCCCCCCAAGGTGGTGGAGCAGGAAAATGCTGTGCTCCCCTCCTCCTACATAACATGGGGGTTAATCTGGAGAAAACAGTCCATGCTTAAAAGTCTTCTGGGCCTATTGCCTCTGTTTGAGGGAAGAAGCTGTGGGAGTTTCCCCTCAAGGTGGTGGAGCAGGAAAATGCTGTGCTCCCCTCCTCCTACACCCACATCAAAATTACAACTAAATTACTGAGCAATCAACTTGGAGAACTATCTGAGGACTAGCTGGACTGAATGCCTATAACTAAGGATATAAAGCAGCCCCGTGGAGACTGTGGGAGTGGCTGAGACACTACCCATGCTGGTCCCACACCACATGTGTCGGATTAGAATCAGGAGAGCGATCTCAGCTGCAGAGGGAAGGGTCTCCCCAGCCCAGAGCACCAGCTCAGTGAAGAAAATCCCCTCAACACCTGGCTGTGACGATCAGTGGAGATTCCCCCCAGGTGAGCCAGAACATGGCTGGAAACCCAGGCATCCGCTTAAAGGGCCTGCACACAGACTCAGCCCACCCTGGACCCTCTATAGTTCCCCACCATCTGGCCCCATGATGTGATGGGAGCACAAGAACGTATGACCTGGAATTAGTCACAAAACTTTGCCCAAAGACTGATGTTACGAAGACCACTTTGAATCATTGAAGGTATTGACCTGTATCTGCTACAGTCATTGCTGCACTGGAGGTCTGGCCTCACGCACACAGACTCAGCCCACCCTGGACCCTCTGTAATTCCCCACCATCTGGCCCCATGACGTGATGGGAGCACAAGAACATATGACCTGGAATTAGTCACAAAACTTTGCCCAAAGACTGATGTTACGAAGACCACTTTGAATCATTGAAGGTATTGACCTGTATCTACTACAGTCATTGCTGCACTGGAGGTGAAATTCTCGGCTCCTTTGGTGAAGTCTTCAGGGCTTCTTTCCGTTTCTGCACTTACAGATTCATCCTATTGGAAATATCCTAAGGGAATTCCAAATAAAAGGTAATTCTTCATCAGATGCCTAGGTTGGACCACACATAATATTTGACACATTTTTCTTTCTGGTCAAAAAAGGAAAGAAGGTTACCCTTGGCTAAATCAGAAGACAGAATTAAGAAACGCCGGAAATTAATTATGTCAGCCTAGCCAGCCTCTTTTTAAAAGGCGAGTTAGAAAAAGAGAAGGCAAAAGTTTCCTCTGGCTTACACCCCTAAACTAATTCCCATCATACAGTGATTTGGATCATTAAAGATATTTAATACAAATGCATGAGATGGTAAAGTACAGGCCACCTGTCAGTAACCCAGAAGAAAAGGCCTCCAAGGATGAAGTGCGAGTTAGCAACAGTGGGTCTTACAATCTTCTCAGGGAGGCTCTGAGGACGGAAGAACGCAAGGCCGGAGCCCAAGGCTCAGAACTGCACTGAGAAATAATGACATAAGCAATGTCCACAGAACGTTTTCACTACATACTTTGTGACTTTGAATCATTGAAGGTATTGACCTGTATCTACTACAGTCATTGCTGCACTGGAGGTGAAATTCTCGGCTCCTTTGGTGAAGTCTTCAGGGCTTCTTTCCGTTTCTGCACTTACAGATTCATCCTCAGGTCACCTTCTGCCCGGAGGCGCTGTTGCCCTCCACGTGGTTGTATTGTGGCTCTTTCCACATTTCAGCTGGAGGGGATGTACCACAGCTTCCTGCTACTTGTGTTCCTGCCTCACGGAGATGATGTGGGAACTAATGCTGTTGGGGAAAGTTTGTTTTGTTAATTGTGGAGCAGGAAAATGCTGTGCTCCCCTCCTCCTACACCCACATCAAAATTACAACTAAATTACTGAGCAATCAACCTGGAGAACTATCTGAGGACTAGCTGGACTGAATGCCTATAACTAAGGATATAAAGCCACCCCGTGGAGACTGGGGGAGTGGCTGAGACACTACCCATGCTGGTCCCACACCACATGTGTCGGATTAGAATCAGGAGAGCGATCTCAGCTGCAGAGGGAAGGGTCTCCCCAGCCCAGAGCACCAGCTCAGTGAAGAAAATCCCCTCAACACCTGGCTGTGACGATCAGTGGAGATTCCCCCCAGGTGAGCCAGAACATGGCTGGAAACCCAGGCATCCGCTTAAAGGGCCTGCACACAGACTCAGCCCACCCTGGACCCTCTATAGTTCCCCACCATCTGGCCCCATGATGTGATGGGAGCACAAGAACGTATGACCTGGAATTAGTCACAAAACTTTGCCCAAAGACTGATGTTACGAAGACCACTTTGAATCATTGAAGGTATTGACCTGTATCTGCTACAGTCATTGCTGCACTGGAGGTCTGGCCTCACTGAAATTCTCGGCTCCTTTGGTGAAGTCTTCAGGGCTTCTTTCGTTTCTGCACTTACAGATTCATCCTCCTATCGCAGGTCACCTTCTGCCCGGAGGCGCTGTTGCCCTCCACGTGGCAGTATTGTGGCTCTTTCCACATTTCAGCTGGAGATGTACCACAGCTTCCTGCTACTTGTGTTCCTGCCTCACAGGGAGATGATGGGAACTAATGCTGTTGGGGAAAGTTTGTTTTGTTAAGAGTGTTCTGCAACCCATTGGAAATATCCTAAGGGAATTCCAAATAAAAGATAATTCTTCATCAGATGCCTAGGTTTGACCACACATAATATTTGACACATTTTTCTTATCATTAAAGATATTTAATACTAATGCATGAGATGGTAAAAGTACAGGCCACCTGTCAGTAACCCAGAAGAAAAGGCCTCCAAGGATGAAGTGTGAGTTAGTGACAGTGGGTCTTACAATCTTCTCAGGGAGGCTCTGAGGACGGAAGAACGCAAGGCCGGAGCCCAAGGCTCAGAACTGCACTGAGAAATAATGACATAAGCAATGTCCACAGAACGTTTTCACTACGTACTTTGTGCAAGGACTGACAGTAATAGTAATCCTAATCTACGTGGGATGCACTGTCCCCTGGAGTTAACTGCCCGCCTGCTACTTGTCTCTCACAACAGAGGGAACAGAGGGCCACGTAGGACATTTTCTCACACTTTTACAAAAGAGGAAATCACTCCCGTTGGTGCTTGAGAAGCACTAAGGTCGGTTTCCCCGTAAGAACTGTATTCACATTTCCTTTCTGTGGACTTAGCCAATAAAAATGTGTGGAATTAAAGGCTTTTTTTTTAACCTGGCTCCTGTTTTTCCCCAAACTGAAGGCTGGGTTTGGCCACCATGACTACCATTCCCTCTCTGCAAAACCATCATAAGTCTTCACTAGACTTGCATATGAATTTTTAATAAGACCTCAAATGTATTTATTGAATATCTGGAACTATTTCACATAAATATAACTTCTAAATGTAAGTAGAAAGAAGGGAAAAGAAATCATGTAGGTTATAGGGTTGTTTCTACTAAGATTATTTCATTCGAATGAGATTTGTTCAAAAAACGTTTGCAAGGAAATTTATTTAATATGACTGAAATTGCAAGGAGTCCATTTTCACCCCAGTCTTTTGCTATGATAATCCTGTGGATTTCCTTTATGCCAGGAAGAAGCATCTTTATGTTATAAATGATAGTGTTTTTCATGCAATGTACAGACTTTGATCTGCATTTTATAAAATACACAAACACACACACACCACCTTTGGGCCAGATTCTAATATAATTTCACAGGAAATTCCTATTGAGGTTGACTGAATTGCAATATAATTTGGAAGCAATTAAAGTTTAACACAGGAATTGTGCGGTAGAGTTATTCTGGAAATGAATCAGGCCCCCAAGGTATGAAGCAAGCATATTCAGGTCTTTGGAACAGCTCTAAGAAATTTCTTAAGTTCTACTGACTCACTAAAACTATAGTGTTCCAGTTGGGGAGTAAGAGCATTGCAAGGCAGTAGTTTATGCAGATCCACTTAAGTTTCAGAAATTGAAATGTTTCTTAAAACTCAATAGCATCATTTCCAAATGAGTATTCCTGTACTACTCCAAGTATAAAACTTCTAGTGTGCCTTATTAAAATGTAATCTAAGTCTGATATGACACAAAAATTTCTAATTTAAAAATCCTTTCTTCTGTATTGTTTTTATCTTTCTTAAAAAATGTATGAAGGGTCTCACCACCCCATTATCTCAGGGAGAGCCCGTTAGGAGTTTCATGCCAGACACACAACTCTAAATACAGGAAAGGAACAGGAAAAAAGAGGAGACTGTTTCTGTGTGCATATCCTCAGGGGCTGCATTACATCATCAGTGTATAATGCCTCTTCCTTTTCAACATACGCTCTATGATAACCCAAGATAATATTCTGCATTAAATTAATAGAGGTTGCTTTTTAATCATGTCAATATTTGCTATATTAATATTTCCCACTAAATGTGGATAGTTCTAAGGAAAATGAACTATCCTCAAGATGGTTAAGTTTCAAGAGTCAAGAGTTAAGACATGAAAAGCATTAATGCTCACGTACAAATTAATTGCTTTTAATTAATTAATTCGAGAAATAAATGGTGAAATAAAATTGCAGTTATTAACTCAATAAGTTAATGACTGATATGTCAACTTCATTTTCATTTTAAGAAACTTTAAATTATTGAAGTGCATGAGTCTACCCTTAATTATAATGTTGATATTTGACACAAATTTTTGAAAAATGTGCTTATTCAAGTGAAAATTCCAAAAGGGAACTGGCAGCCTAACAGTTTGAGTACTGCGCTACCCTAAATGACGGAGAATTACACCCAGAATGGCAGTGTGAGGAGCCCCAGATCTGCTGCCCCCTGAAACTATCATGGGGGAATAAAAAGAATTTTAAAGTGTCTGGAAATTCTCCTAAGGACATACAGCAAATAGGGAAACATTTACTGAAGAAGACCTCCTAAATCTCAGTAAGAACAGTGTATTTGGAATTTGAGCCACAAACCCACTTCTTCCCTTCCCCTCCCCTAAGTTGACATGATTAAATTTCCACTCTAGGTGGGTATGGCCAAGAAGATGGGGCTCCCTTTCCCATCAGCCCCCAATCAAGGAATATTAAAAAGGCTGCAGAGGCTAAATCCCTGGGGACAACAACTAAGAGGTCATGAGCCTCTTCTTCCACACAGCCCCACTCAGAGAGCAGAGGTCCTACTACGTGCACATGGAATACAATCCAGGATAAAGCATACACTAGGCCATAAAACAAGTCTCAGTAGATTTAAGAGGATTGAAATTATGCAAAGCATGTCCTCTGACCATTCAAGGAAATTATAAATCGATAACAGAAATCTGGGAATTCATAACTAGGTAGAAATTAAGCAACGTGTGCCTACATAGCCATTGGGTCAAAGAAATCACAAGGCAAGTTAGAAAATACTTTGAGATGAATGAAAACAAAAATATAACATACCACAAGTTATAGGATGCAGCTAAAGCAATGCTTAGAGGAAAATTCATAACTGTAAATGCCTGTATTACAAAAAGATCTCAAATCAATAGCCTACCCTTTCACATTATGATACCTGAAAAAGGACAAAGGAACCCCAAAGCAAGCAGCAGGAAGGAAATAATAAAGACAGGGCAGAACTGAATGAAATAGAGAACAGAAACATACAGAAAACCAACAAAATCAGACGTCAGTTCTCTGAAAGGAGCAACTCTATTGGCAAGCCTTCAGCTAAATGTACCGACAAAAAAAAGAGAAGGCTCAACTTATCTTACCTGACAAAACTTCTGAGAACAATATGACTTTACACAGGACCAGATCCCTTAATTACCATGAGTCAGAGGTGATTCCAATGTAAGCCATGTGGAAAAGCACCTCCATTTGTCACCCTTTTTCCTTTGTTAGGTCAAAAAAAATCTACCCTAAATATCGCGATCTTTGAAATGTATCATTTATTTCTAGGTAACTACTTCCCCCCACGCCACTCCCCAAACATACGTACACTTCTGCTTTAGGAAGCTTCTTCCCCTATTTCAGGGGCTGTTGCATACCTTTCCTTTCCACCATCAAAACAGGATAGACCTGAGAATAGTTATTTGCACTTTTGTTCATTGACAGATGACCTTTCAAATTCATCTCTACAGAAGCATCACTGTCCAACAGCATTCACATCTGACTCTGAGGTACTAGCTGCAGAAACAAGCAGTTTTCCACATTAAAGAATATTAAACTGCCACACAATCTAGTCAATGGATACCACACGTTGAACCAAGTAGTTGATTTTAGTCTTTTGGCTCAGAAAATATACAGCAAATAAATGTGATTCCTTAATTTTATATATAATATATATTTATGTGTTAGAGAGGAAAGGGGAAAATATGGAAACTGGATACCACCTTGAAAGTCATTTGGATTCATTTTTGTTATGTTTACTTTGTATTCTTAAGGGACAGAAGGTTGGAGACTACAAGAAGCATCAGAAGTTGGGTCCAGGAACACCCCTGGCTGCTCAACCCAGCGGGGCCAGGAGCAGAGAGGTGGGTGCCCGTGAACCTCCGTGCCAGGGCCTCTCCTCCAAGACAGGGCTGGGAGTTTGTCTTTTGATGTTGACCACAAAGGAGGCCACACCTGCAGTCAGTGTTTGGCAAGTGTGTGGTTCATCAGTTTTTTCTGTAAGATATAAATGTTTAAATATGCCAGCGTGTGTAGCCATGCTTTGCCATTGCTTCATTTCTGTGTACACACGAGAAACCCTGGGAAGGAAGAATCCAGGGCTCGCCTCTGCCCCTCGGCGGCTCTGCCTCATGCTGCCCTGATGTGGACCTGGCAGCCACACATCCTGACCCTTCACAAGACGCCACCTTCCTCACTCGGCTGCAGCTCTAGTGCTTTCTCTCCCTGCCCACGGCTCCACCCTACACCTTCCACACCTCCATGTTTCCCCGATACTCAACACTTCTAAAATCTCTCAGCACATGCTTATTCCACCTGTATTATTTCTATTTCTAACATATATTTTGCATCACAAAATCCCTCCAAATCAGGACTATGTTTTTGAAGTTATTAGTTTTATGACAATCATTATGACAATAAACATTTTATTAAGTACTTGCTTTGCACCAGGCACTCTACTGTTTTACATAAGTCACCTCATTCTGTCACACTTAATTATATATAAACATATGCTAAAATTTGCTAGTAACGCTTAAAATTAATTAAAATATACTGTTGGACACCTTTGAAAGAAAAGTTTCAATATACTGAAGACATGAAATTCACAGAATAAAATATTTTGAAGTCTTACAAAATGTACAACACTAAATTATTATAGAGGTACTATTAAATTTATGTTTCTATCATGAAAAAGGAGCTATTCAAGGTACCTACTTTCTTTTTGTCTTAGAAACCACAGCTTCTAATATGTCAAATAAATATGATTAGATTCGTATCTTCAAATAAATCCTTTTACTAAGACAGAAATATATAAAGTGAGTATGTTTTTGCATTAATTCCAAAACTGTTTTCCATAATAACAACCCAGCCTGACATCAGCTGTGGTGTGAGGGCTAGGAAATAACATGAGATATGATTTTTACTAATCCTTTACATTCCACTTTGAAGCTGTATGCTGTTTTTAATCAAAGCTCTTATTTTATTATCAAGACTTACATTATTCTCCGAAGGAGTGGATTTTCTGTTGGAGACAGGAAATGAAGGACTGCTAATGCTGGAAATGTATTTTTCCTGTCTCGACATT